CACCCACCCACCCCCGGAGCATACAATTTTCTCTACCTGGGGCTCCAAAGGTAGAGAACAGGCTCAGGGCGGGTCACAATATTTCGATAAATACAATAAAATTTAAAACACATTAAAACATATAAAATCAATAGTCATGCGTGCCATAGGGAGAATCTAGCCCATTGCTGTAACTAGGTATGGCCGGTTATCAGTAGGTGGGAGACAGCAACCTCGGGGGGGGGGCATGTGTGGACGCCTGCTGCCTCAGCCAAAGGCCTGGCGGAAGAGCTCCGTCTTGCAGGCCCTGCAGAATTGACGTAGATCCCTATGCAGGGCCCTGATCTCAGTAGGGGGCACATTCCACCAGGTGGGGGCCAGGGCGGAAAAAGCCCTGGGCCTGGTCGAGGGGCTAGGCGGACATCCTTTGGGCCAGGGACCACCAGGAGATGTTGACTCTCAGAGCGTAACGCTCTCTGAGGCATATATGGGAAGAGGCTGTCCCTTAGGTATGTTAGGTAGTTTTCATGAGCAAACATTGATGTCCCTCATATTTTTTGTCTTTCCTACTTCAGGTTGCAAATAGAAGAATCTTCCAAACCTGTAAGCTGGACCAAGCAGCTAGATAAAGCGGTAACCACCAATTACAAACCTGTGGCTAACCACCAGTACAATGTAAGTGCTCTTCTGCCATTTCTATTTTTCCTACTGTTCTACCTTTCTAAAGCCTTGTGGCAAAATTCCTGACTAGTTATAGCAAACAAATACATGAAATCCAGCATTTCCATCCCATTCCATTGCAAAAGGTATATAAGTTCAGTTGTTAATTTTTCTTTTTTTAAAAAAAAAAAACATAGCACATTTATTTTTAAATGTGAAAAAACAATACCATAGAGTCAAGAGAATATTCAGTTTACATATTTCACACAGTATCATACAGAGTAAAATAAATCAGTAGTTTAATCCAGTTGCATCGTCACTAGAGCTTTAATATCACATGATTCATCAACAACATTACCATAATTGCAACTCTTCAGCCTCACTTGGAATCTCTCCTTGGTTTACTAAATATTCCAGTACAGGAAACCCCTATCGTAGCAAAGTTGGAGGGGGATACAAAGGAGTTAAACTGAGATTGGTTATCTGCTGTTTTTGCCACAGTGTAGTAGTAGCCAGTATGGTGTAGCGGTTAGGAATGTCAGACTAGTTTCTGGGAGACCCAGGTTTGAACTTGTGCTGTGGAAACTTACCAGGTGACCTCGGGCCAGTCACACACTCTCAGCCTAGCATACTTCGCAGGGTTGTTGTGAGGATTAAATGGAAGAGAGGAGAAGGGTGTGAGCCGCTTTCATTGGGAGGAAGGCTGGATCGATTTATAAATGTATATATATCCGTGTGTCATTTGCTATTGTGATTCAGCTGAGGGCGCGTGCCACCTCTGCACGTCTTAGCCAAGAGGGGAAAGGGGGAAACACCTCAGGCAAACTTAAGCCCTCTGGGAGCCCTCTGTTTCAGTGGGACATGCTTAAACTGCCCCCTTTGGAGTAACAAGAACTTAGAAGTTCTGAGGTTTGTCTGGATTATGCAGACCGCCCACTGAAAGGGGGTCCTTCAGGTATGCTTTGAAGTGGGAGTTTGGACCCAGCACTGAACACCGGTTCACTTTTCCCCCAAAAGCCTGTCAGCAGGCAGGTCCTCAGGCTTCTTCCGCCTTGTCTGGGTTCTTGGAATCGATCCACCTTCGATGTGGTCTCTGTGCTTCACACCTATGGGATTCAGTGCGCCTGCGCTGGATCGATTGGCATTGTAGCAAGCTCTAACGGATTTTCGCGTCCAGACTTCAGGCACGCACAGGAACCCCGACCATGCATGCCCAGAGGGATGGGCGCGGACATCCCACCAGTTCCTTTCTTTCCGCCACGCTGGAAACATCCTTTCTTGGTCGGTGAGATTAGTAGCTAATTTTTCCTCAGATGCTCTTCGAATTTTTGTCCATCAATTTTTTTATCTCCTTTGCCTCAATGTTTTTGTTCTTATATCGGGGGAAAAAATTTTTTTACCCAAGTTTGGCCTTCGGCCCCCCCCCCCCCAATACCTCTTTTTCTTTCTCCCCCCCCCCTTCTCCATTTGGTTTATTTTATGGAGAAAAAGTGAGGCTTTTTCAAATGTTGTACTGGGTCCGCCTGACGGCCACACCCTTTGTATTTTTTGCCTCGGTGAGACGCACCAGCCGGAGTCTTGCCAACACTGTGCCAAGTTCTCAAATCAAACTAGGAAAAATCGAGCGGCGCATCTCCGAGTAGCTTTACTGGAATCAGCGCTAAACCCCACTTCCAGCATGGATCCAGACGTACCTGTGAGACCATAAACATCGACGGCTCCAGCGTCGAAATCCTTGTTCGACATTGTCCAGTCGACATCGAAGCGCCCGACAACGCAGTCTTTGGCATCCACTCCTGTAAAAAAGAAGAAGGAGAAATCGGGCAAAGACCACAAGTCTGCCAAGAAGTGCCCCCGTACCTACGACAGTATTGACATTGGAGACTCTGACCGCCCCACCGATACCGGTCACCCAGCTGATGGACTCCCCTATACTGACGCTGACACGCTGGCGGACATACATCCCTTCTCTGACATCGAGGACATGGGAATCCTCAGCCGTTCCCAGGGCAGGGACATAAGAACATAAGAGACGCCAATGTTGGATCAGGCCAAAGGCCCATCCAGTCCAACACTCTGTGTCACACAGTGGCCAGAAATACCAGTGCCATCAGGAGGTCCAGCAGTGGGGCCAGGACATTAGAAGCCCTCCCACTGTTGACCCCCCCCCCAAGCACCAAGAAGACAGAGCATCACTTGCCCCAGAGCCCCTAGCTATACCTTGTGGCTAATAGCCACTGATGGACCTCTGCTCCATATGCTTATCTAATTCCCTTTTGAAGCCGTCCATGCTTGTAGCACCCACCACTTCCTGTGGCAGTGAATTCCATGTGTTAATCACTCTTTGGGTGAAGAAGTACTTCCTTTTATCCGTTCTAACCCGACCGCTCTGCAGTTTCATGGAGTGCCCACGAGTTCTTGTATTGTGAGAAAGGGAGAAAAGTACCTCTTTCTTTACCTGCTCTTTCCCATGCATAATCTTATAAACCTCGATCATGTCACCCCTCAGTCGTCTTTTCTCCAAGCTAAAGAGCCCTAAGCGCTTTAACCTTTCCTCATAGGGAAAGTGTTCCAACCCTTTTATCATTCGAGTTGCCCTTTTCTGCACTTTTTCCAAAGCTATAATATCCTTTTTAAGGTGTGGTGCCCAGAACTGCACACAGTATTCCAAATGAGGTCTCACCATTGATTTATATAGGGGCATTATTATATTGGCTGATCTGTTTTCAATACCCTTCCTAATAATCCCCAGCATAGCATTGGCCTTCTTTATTGCAGTCACACACTGTCTCGACATTTTCAGTGAGTTATCCACTACAACTCCAAGATCTCTCTCTTGCTCAGTCTCTGCCAGTTCAGACCCCATCAATGTGTATTTATATTTAGGATTTTTGGCTCCAATGTGCATCACCTTGCACTTGGCCACATTGAACCCCATTTGCCATGTTGACGCCCACTCGCCCATCCTTGACAGATCCCCTTGGAGTGCCTCACAATCCTCACTGGTTTTCACCACCCTGAACAACTTTGTATCATCCGCAAATTTAGCCACTTCACTGCTTACTCCCATCTCCAAATCATTAATGAACAAGTTAAAAAGCAGTGGACCAAGTACTGATCCCTGCGGTACCCCACTGCTTACCACCCTCCACTGAGAAAATTGCCCACCTACACTCACTCTCTGTTTTCTATGAACTAGCCAGTTTTTGATCCATAAAAGGACTTGTCCTTCTATCCCATGATTTTTGAGCTTACTTAGGAGCCTTTGATGAGGAACTTTATCAAAAGCTTTCTGGAAGTCAAGGTAAATAATATCTATTGGATCCCCCTTGTCCACATGTTTGTTCACCCCCTCAAAGAACACTAACAGGTTAGTGAGACAAGATCTTCCCTTACAGAAACCGTGCTGAGTCTGCCTCAATAGGTTTTGTTCATCTATGTGCCTACTAATTCTTTCCTTAATAATGGTTTCCACCAATTTACCCGGTATCGACGTCAGACTGACTGGCCTGTAATTTCCCGGATCTCCTCTGGAACCCTTTTTAAAGATGGGAGTGACATTTGCTACCTTCCAATCCTCAGGAATGGAGGCAGATTTTAAGGAAAGATTACATATCTTTGTCAGGAGATCTACAAGTTCACATTTGAGTTCTTTCAGAACTCTCGGATGTATGCCATCTGGGCCTGGTGATTTTTCAGTTTTTAAGTTGTCTATCAGTTTTAGGACCTCCTCTCTCGTCACCTCAATCTGACTCAGGTCTTTCAACACCCCTCCTGAAATCAGTGGTTCTGGAGTGGGCAAGCACTTCTCATCTTCCACAGTGAAGACGGAGGCAAAAAATGCATTTAGCTTCTCAGCCATTTCCCTATCATCCTTCAGTACTCCTTTTACCCCTTGGTCATCCAAGGGCCCCACTGCCTCCCTGGCTGGTTTCCTGTTTCTAATGTATTTGAAGAAAGTTTTATTGTTGGTTTTTACGTTTTTTGCTATATGCTCCTCATATTCCCTTTTTGCCTGCCTGACCTCAGACTTGCATTTTATTTGCCATAGCCTGTGTTCCGTTTTATCAGCCTCACTGTGACTAGCTTTCCACCGCTTAAAGGAATCCTTTTTACCTTTTACAGCTTCCATTACTTTGTTTGTTAACCATGCAGGCTTTTTCCTATACCTTTTTGTGCCTTTCCTAACCTGCGGAATATATTTTATTTGAGCTTCTAGAATTGTAGTTTTAAACAGTTTCCAAGCTTCCCCAATGGTTTTGACCCTTTCTACTTTTCCCTTCAGTTTCCTCCCCACATGTCCCCTCATATCAGATAAGTTATCCCTTTTAAAGTTAAAAGTGGTTGTGTGAGTCTTTTTGGCCAATTCCCTATTTATACAAATGTTGAACTCCACAACATTATGATCTCTGTTCCCAAGCGGTGCAATCACTTTTACATCTCTCACCAGGTCTTGAGTGTTACTTAGGACCAAATCAAGGATCACCTCTCCCCTGGTAGGTTCCGTGACCATCTGCTCCATAGCACAGTCATTTAGAGTGTCTAGAAATGCAATCTCTTTTTCTCGACTAGAACACATATTGACCCAATCAATGTGTGGGCAGTTAAAATCACCTATTATGACACAGTGTTTTTGTCTAGCTGCTATCTTTAATTCATCCATCATTTTATAATCCTCCTCTATCTTTTGATCTGGTGGGCGATAACAAACTCCCAGTGTTAAGTTTCCTTTTGGCCCCCCTATTTCAACCCATAGAATTTCCAGAAGCGAATCCAATTCTCTTAGCTTCTCAATCTTACTGGACTGTATACCCTCTCTGAAATACAGAGCCACCCCACCTCCAACCCTTCCCCCCATCCTTCCAATATAAGATATAACCGGGAATCACCATATCCCACTGATTTTCCTCATCCCACCAAGTTTCTGAAATACCCACAATGTCTATTTTTCCCTCCAACACCAGGCATTCCTTGGACACTTCTAGCATTTGTATAGAAACAGCTATAATTTCCCA